ATAATATGTTTTTAAAATCATTTGTATTTCCTTGGTGTTGGTAGTGATCTCTCCTTTCTCTTTCATGATTTTTTTATGATAGTCACAGAGAGAGAGAGAGAGAGAGAGAGAGAGAGAGAGAGAGAGAGAGGCAGAGACACAGGCAGAGGGAGAAGCAGGCTCCATGCACCGGGAGCCCGACGTGGGACTCAATCCGGGGTCTCCAGAATCGCGCCCTGGGCCAAAGGCAGGCGCCAAACGGCTGCGCCACCCAGGGACCCCTTTCATGATTTTATTAATTTGAGTCTTCTCTCTCTTCTTTTTAATAAGGTTGGCTAATGGTTTATCTATCTTATTAATTCTTTCAAAGAACCAACTCCTGGTTCTATTGATCTGTTCCACAGTTGTTCTGGTCTCAATTTCATTAAGTTCTGCTCGAATTTTAATTAACTCTCTTCTTCTGCTGGGCGTCGGGTCCATTTGCTGTTTTTTCTCTAGCTCCTTTATGTGTAAGGTTAGCTTTTGTATTTGAGTTCTTTCCAGTTTTTGAATGGATGCTTGTATTGCGATGTATTTCCCCCTCAGGACTGCTTTTGCTGCATCCCAAAGATTTTGAACAGTTGTATCTTCATTCTCATTAGTTTCCATGAATCTTTTTAATTCTTCCTTAATTTCCTGGTTGACCCTTTTATCTTTTAGCAGGATGGTCCTTAACCTCCATGTGTTTGATGTCCTTCCAAACTTCTTCATGTGATTTAGTTCTAATTTCAAGGCGTTATGGTCTGAGAATATGCAGGGGACGATCCCAATCTTTTGGTATCGGTTCAGACCCGATTTGTGACCCAGTATGTGGTCTATTCTGGAGAAAGTTCCATGTGCACTTGAGAAGAATGTGCATTCAGTTGAGTTTGGATGTAAAGTTCTGTAGATATCTGTGAAATCTACCTGGTCCAGTGTATCATTTAAAGCTCTCGTTTCTTTGGAGATGTTGTGCTTAGAAGACCTATCGAGGGTAGAAAGAGCTAGATTGAAGTCACCAAGTATAAGTGTATTATTATCTAAGTATTTCTTCACTTTGGTTAATAATTCGTTTAAGTATTTGGCAGCTCCCACATTCGGGGCATATATATTGAGGATTGTTAAGTCCTCTTGCTGGATAGATCCTTTAAGTATGATATAGTGTCCCTCTTCATCTCTCACTACAGTCTTCGGGGTAAATTTTAGTTTATCTGATATAAGGATGGCTACCCCTGCTTTCTTCTGAGAACCATTTGAATGGTAAATGGTTCTCCAACCTTTTATTTTCAGGCTGTAGGTGTCCTTCTGTCTAAAATGAGTCTCTTGTAGACAGCAAATAGATGGGTCTTGCTTTTTTTATCCAGTCTGAAACCCTGCGCCTTTTGATGGGGTCATTAAGCCCGTTCACATTCAGAGTTACTATTGACAGATATGAGTTTAGTGTCATCATGATATCTATTTAGTCCTTGTTTTTGTGGATTGTTCCACTGAACTTCTTCTTAAAGGGGAATTTTAAGAGTCCCCCTTAAAATTTCTTGCAGAGCTGGTTTGGAGGTCACATATTCTTTCAGTTCCTGCCTGTCTTGGAAGCTCTTTATCTCTCCTTCCATTTTGAATGAGAGCCTTGCTGGATAAAGTATTCTTGGTTGCATGTTCTTCTCATTTAGGACCCTGAATATATCCTGCCAGCCCTTTCTGGCCTGCCAGGTCTCTGTGGAGAGGTCTGCTGTTACCCTAATATTCCTCCCCATGAAAGTCAGGGACTTCTTGTCTTTTGCTGCTTTAAGGATCTTCTCTTTATCTTTGGAATTTGCAAGCTTCACTATTAAATGTCGAGGTGTTGAACGGTTTTTATTGATTTTAGGGGGGGATCTCTCTATTTCCTGGATCTGAATGCCTGTTTCCCTTCCCAGATTGGGAAAGTTTTCAGTTAGGATTTGTTCAAATACATATTCTGGCCCTCTGTCCCTTTCAGCGCCCCCGGGAACCCCAATTAAACGTAGGTTTTTCTTCCTTAGGCTGTCATTTATTTCCCTTAATCTGTCTTCATGGTCTTTTAATTGTCTGTCTCTTTTTTCCTCAGTTTCCCTCTTTGTCATCAACTTGTCTTCTATGTCACTCACTCGTTCTTCCACCTCATTAACCCTCGTCGTTAGGACTTCTAGTTTGGATTGCATCTCATTCAATTGATTTTTAATTTCTGCCTGATTGCATCTAAATTCTGCAGTCATGAAGTCTCATGAGTCCTTAGTGCTTTTTTCTAGAGCCACCAGTAGCTGTATAATAGTGCTTCTGAATTGGCTTTCTGACATTGAATTGTAATCCAGATTTTGTAACTCTGTGGGAGTTTCTGATTCTTTCTTTTGAGGTGAGGTTTTCCTTCTAGTCATTTTGCTCAGTGCAGAGTGGCCAAAAACAAGTTGTATTGGGAAAAGGAGAGAAAGAGAGAGATGAAAAGAAAAGAGAAAAATAAAAAAGAAAAAGAAGAAAAAAAGGAAAAAAAGAGAAGAAAAAGAGAAAGAAAAAGAAAGAAAGGTGAAAAAGTGGGGGGGCGGGGGAAGCAATCAGAAATCAAAAAGAAAAAACAAAAACCACGGGGGAGTATCTTCTGATTCCGTATACTTTAAGTCCCTCGACTTCCCCTGGAACTGGTCCGTCCAGCTGGTCTTCTGGGGGAGGGGCCTGCTGTGCTGATTCTCAGGTGTTAGCACTTGGGGGAGCTGCTCCGCCCCTGCCTGGTGCAGGGCTCAGTGGGGGTTGTTTAGCCCGTGAGGCCCCAGGAGGAACAGCCCCAGTGGTTACGGCAGCTCTGGAAGCCTGGAGTCAGCCTCCGCAGGAACTACGGGGCTCGGGGCTCTCGGCTCTCCGTCTGCAGGGCCTGGAGGCTCCGGGGCGGGGCCGCTGATCTGCTCAGCTCGGGGCAGGAGCGTCCTTGCTGTCCTGGGCCCTGTCCCGGGGGGAGGCCGGATCCTGGGCTGTGTCCCGACGCCCTGTGCTCCGGGGCCTGCGCTGTTGGATTCGCGCTCCCGGCCGTGCAGCCCCCTCCGCGGAGCCGCCGCCCGAGCCCCGCGGAGCCGCCGCCCGAGCCCCTCCGAGCTGCTCCCGGCCGCGCAGCCCCCTCCGCACGGAGCCTCTTCCTCTGCCCGAGCCGCCACCGCCGCCGAGCTGCTCCCGGAGCCGCGCAGCCCCCTCTGTGGAGCCGCTGCACGAGCCCCTCCGAGCTGCTCCCGGAGCCGCGCAGCCCCCTCCGCGGAGCCGCCGCCCGAGCGCCTCCGAGCTGCTCCCGGAGCCGCGCAGCCCCCTCCGCGGAGCCGCCGCCCGAGCCCCTCCGAGCTGCTCCGGGCCCCGCCGTGCGCGCTGCAGCCCTTAGGGAGCTCGGAGCACTCTCCCGGGGCGCAGGTGTCTGTTAGTGTCTCCGGGAGCCCGAGGGCATCCCCGCCCTCCTGGGGTCCTGCTCTAACTCCCTGCGGGCCCCTTTCCGCCCGGGAAGGTTGGTGCAGCTCCTGCTCCTCCGGGACGGGGCTCTCCTGTCCTGGGGACACTCGCCCCGGCCTCAGCCCGGCTCCTCGCGGGGCCCCTCCCCCTCGGAGGCCTTTTGTGTCTTTCTTTTTCCCCGTCTTCCTACCTTGATAGAAACGCGAACTCTTCTCCCTGTAGCATTCCAGCTGGTCTCTCTTTACATCTCAGGCTGAATTCGTAGATTTTCAGGATGATTTGAAGGTTATCTAGGTAATTTGGTGGGGACAGGTGATTTGGGGACCCCACTCTTCCGCCGTCTTGCCCCTCCTCCCACCTTCCTTCTTTAGACGTGCTTTTAGTACTTTGGCCACAGGGTCCTTCTCTCATTGCCTGAGAGACATCATGGAACAGTGAGAAGAGAAAGTAAGAGACATGAGGTTGACCTCAGGCTGGGAGGAGAGGAACAGCATGGGTTCCAGAGGAATCAGACCAGGCTCCATTCCTGGTTCTATCAGTTCACCCGCTAAGTGAACTTGAGAATATTTCAAGCTCTTCATCTGCCAAGTGGATTGGAGAAGTCCTGTTCTGTAGGACTGTTGGAACATATGCAATATATGTGAAGTACCTGGCATCGTGACTGGCAAATATTGGGTCTTTAATAAATGTTAGTTATTATTATGCTTAGTCTTATACCGGAAAAAACTTTCATGTCTGGGATATTTTTTTTTTTTGTCCAGGAGATGTCAGAGACTGCAGTGCTGTCTTCTTGAATGGCAGCTATGCACTGAGAAGACCCCAAAGTGTCCTGCCTCAGAGAATTTATGCTTCACTGCTCTCACTTGCCCCTGTTCCTCGTAGCTTTTTTTTAAACTTGTCTTTTACGTGTTAGAGTTCATCATACCCATCTTCCTTATATAATAATGGCTCTTACACTCTAAAAATCTACGTGTAGGGTCTTTATCCTTAGCATCATCATTATTTACAGCCTCCCAAAGAACAGATGCTCAATTAATAATAAGAATAAATAGGGCACTAGGCAAGGAATGTAATTTATTACTATTTAATTTTATCTGCATTCATGAATAAGGACATTCAGATATATATCCTTGAATTTTACAAAAAGACAAAATGAATAAGATAATCCAAGATTTAACTACATTTTACTTTGTTTCTATTTTAAACCACAGCTGTATTTTTGCTGGTTCTTTCATATTTCCAAGAATAATCCCCACTCTAACACCATATTATCTTGTTCTGGAACCCAAAGGAGATGCAAAAATTTTCAAGCTATATTATGCAATACCAAAACTCTTACTCTTAAACCTGTTTAAACTGCAATGTGTGATCTATGTCATTTATAAACTTATATTCTGAATCTAAATAAACATTCTAATGAAAGGAACATTTGTAAGCTACCAAGGACAATAGGAAAAATAAAAAGAAGATACATATTATGATCTTGCCAACCCCACCTTAGGTTCTCACTACTTAAAAGGTTGGCAGCCCTCATCAAACACAGAGGGAAGAATCTGCCTCAGCCCTCTCTAGGGAGGAGTGGAGCAGCTCGATGCGGCCCTGGAATGTGCACTGGCCTTGGTAGCAGAGGCAGCCTTAGCCGTGGCTCTGGCCTGGGCTCGCTCTTCCTCATCTCGCAGAGCCTCTTCATAATGGAATGGGAAGGCACTGGGGACGGTATCATGGACCTTCGCCAAAAACTCTAGGACTTTCATCTTGCTGGTCTCGGCATGGGCTCTTGGGCCCCACAGGAACTCGTAGCGTGGAGGATCACTACCGGACACCTGGCGGTATTCCAGGTACTTTTCCTGCACCAAATCTTGGGTGATGAGCTTCCTGGGCTCCCCAAAGACTACGTGCTTCCTTCCTTCATAGACGCCCAAGATATTCATGAATTCCCAGATATCCTCTTCAGAGGCTCGGTTGCCACTCAGGAAGATCACACTCAGAAGAGGCATAAGAAGACCATTCTTAGGAGGACCCCAGCCATTGCTCACATCGCCATCACTGGTGATGTCTAGGCTGCTCACGAGGGTATAGGAGTGACCACCAGGCTTGATTTCCTTTAATTCTAGGCCAAAGACTAGCTCCAGGTGCTCAGAGGCTTTCCCGAAGATCTCAGGGAAATCTTCCTTGTACCTTTTGTTGATGATCTTCAGCATCTTTGCCCTTATAATGGGTGCCTTCATTGCATACCTTTCTAGCATGAACTGCATCAATATTCCCACCTTCCTGGTTAGAAGATCATTGCGAGCGCTCTCAGGGGAAGTTGAGGCCTGGGAGGAATGTTCACCTCCGTCAACCCGGCTCTTGGCACCTGCATTAGATCTGCGGCGTGAACCACGTGCAGCAGAAGAGCTAGTGGCTTGGGATCCCTGAGGCTTCTGGGAAGCGCCAGCAGCAGGGGAGCTCGAGGGAGCATCCCCAGAAACAGAAGAGGGGGACTTATTGACCTCTCCTGTAGTGGCCTGAGTATCCCCAAGGCCCTGGCTCTCAACATGGGCCTGGCAGCGTTTCTTACGGGCACGGAGCTTACTCTTTTGGCCCCGAGGCATGACTAGGTCAGGGACTGCAGGCAGAAGCGTGGGCAGATGCCGGCACCTGGAGCAGGGAAGATGAGAGTGTGAGCACCACAGTAGGGAGAGACCACCTTGGCTTTTAAAGAAGCCACTTTTGTAGGTTCTGTGAGGGTATGGCTCTAGGACCCCACAGGGTTCTTGCTCTTGGTCATTCTGTCTCCTGAGAACCCAAGGGAGGAAATCAGAGTAGTCCTAGGACTCCCAGCACTAACAACAGGGGTGGTGTCATAAGCTACTCTTTCATTCGGGTATCCAGTGGTCTCCATTTCCTTACTCAGGGTCTTCACCTTGACTCCAAACCCTTCCTGGGGCTCTACTCTCTGCTGCTCTGAGGCCATAACCCTTAGACAAAGGTCCTCATATTTCTGGGACCTGAGTTGACAGCCGCAGTGAGCTGGCTGGGGCCTATGCCTGCTAACAGCAGGGGCGAGACTCTTCACCCCCACTGTTCTGGAGTCAGTGGCTCCCTCAGACCCCATTCAGGACTTGACCTTGACTCCAGGTAGGATTTGGGATTCCTCCATCTCCCTGAGCCTACAAGCCTCAGAGCAAAAGGCCTCACCTCCCTGAGTAGCTAGAAGAGAATTCAGGGTGCTGCCCATCTGAGTACCTCACCTAGAGACTCCCAGATCTGAGAGCCGGGGTGCTGCTGTGTGCAGCTCCCTATTTTGTGGAGAGGGGTGCTTATTAGCAATGATGGTCCTACCTTTACTCCTTTTAGGGCCCAAACACCTCCCTCCGCCTATGGTGCTGCCTCCTTTACATAAAGGCCTTTCTTAAAAAAAGGAAAGAAAAGAATGAAAAAAAGAAAAGAAAAGAGTCCTTTCTCTACCAAAACCACCCCCTAGGCAAAAATGAGGGGTTATCTCAGCCCGAATTACTCCAGGGCATTCCAGGACTGCCAGCAGGCATGGGGCAGCTGCCTTTGGACGAAGGCCCTCTCCTCCCTGGGGCCGCGCAGTCCATAAGGCCCCGAGGCAAAGCGGTAATGAGGATACCGGGACCGCTTGGCCTTATAGACCGCTGGGACCTCACTGAGCCGAACCGAAGGGGCAGGTTCAGGGACCCAACTTTATTATGGGAGGCCGAGGGGGGAGGAGGAATCCCTTCGGTTCCCCCTCAGAGTTCTTACCTTGAATTCAGATCAGTCCCGGGAATCCGGCCTCCGCCAAGCGAACAAATATGGCGCCCGGCGGTGGAAGCCCCACCCGGAACGGAAGTCGGGTGAACCGCATCCGGTGCTGGCAGCGGTCCAGGGTCTCCAAGGATTGAAAGCAGAGGCGGGGCTCTGTGCGACTTCCCTGCTTAGGGCTCCTCACGCCGGTCCTCGCCGTGTCTCCCAGGGCCTGGGCTTCTCTCTCTCTGCTGGCCCAGGCCTGCCAGCGCCCAGAGCCCCCAGCCTCCCGAGTCCTCTTGCTATTCCCCTGGCTACTCCTTCCTGGGCCACAGAAGCCTGGAAAGAGGGGCGGGACTCTGTGAGCCTCCCACTTTCAGGAGAGATTCCTTGACGGTCCATACCTGGACTGTAGTTATGGCCAAGGCTTCTTCCCCTGTAGAGCTGGGACCCATCCTGTTAGAGAAGGCCATTCCTTCTCTGAGACTCACCAGGCAGAATGAGGGGACTCCAGTTAGAGCTCTTCTGGGTCCCCCAGGGCTAAGAATGATACAGGATTCTATTTAGTCCCCTTTGCTTTGGGGGTTCCCTCACAACACTCATGGTCTTCACATGAATTCTTATTAGGGCCCAGGTCCCTCCCTCTGCAAAACTGAGGCAGCTTCCATCAAACAGAGGCCCTCACCTTCCCGAGACTTTCCAGGCTAAAACCAGCCTGACATCACTGCCCAGGGCTTCCCAGGGAGGACAGCATAGGGGATGTTGTAGGGCCTCCTTTTATGCTGTGAGTGCTACTCTTAGTCCACATTTGAGGCCTCACCTTGACAGATGACCAATCCTGTAACTTCACTCTGCTCTCCTGTAGCTGCTTATCTTACATGAAGGGCCTCCTTTCCTGAGAATTCCAAGTTGGAAATGAGGCTGATCCTTGTCTGATCACGGTCTTTGGGTGCCTCCAAGAACAGATAGCAGAGATGTGATGCTACAGGGCCTCAATGTTCTGGCTGGGTCCTTTCATCATTTCTCATTCATGGTCCTCACCATATCTTTCAGAGCCTGGGACTCCTACTGAGCTTAGGTCACCATCCTTAGGTCTTTGGATGACCCTAATATGTTGGGGGTAGTTGTCTCTTCAGGACTTATTCATGGGGGGTCCTCATCTTGGCTTGTCTCTTGATTAAAGGCTTCCTGGGAAACGACATGTACTTGCAAGTGCTTGACCAATTTCTTTACTGCATGTCTTGCAGAAAATGAGTCCATGTCCCAAGAGTGATGTAAGATTAGGAAAAAGCAGCATACATCTGGGAGCCCAGAACAGGTGTTGTGGTGTCTGAGGAAAAAAATAAAAGCTGATATATTCCTTCTCTTCACCAGCCATACTTGAGGTAGCTCTAAAAGATTTACTTTTAACAGAGAAGGATAGAGCCAGATGATTTTGTGAGTCTCTGATCTTTTGAGAATATCTGATTTTGCACATGTAGATGATCATATCGTCACTGTCTCTTTCTCTCCTTTATGCATATCTCTTATTTGTTTTGGTATTATTATTGCACTGGTTATGTATTCCAATCCAGTGTTTTGGTCACAGAGTTTTCCTTTTCACCATTTGAGATACATTTTGGAGTAGTAGAAGAAAGTGAATTAAGTGAAGCATGCTCAGCCTCAAGCTGGGAGGAGTGGAAAAGTATGAGCTTTGGACAGATTCAGACCAAAGGTCTAGTCCCAGCCCCATCACTTATTAGCTCTGTGAACTGGCTGCATTAGCAAGTTCTATGGGCTTCAGGCTCTGCATCTGTGAAATGGGTTTGTTAAATCTGTCTCACAGGGCTGATGGAACATGGTTCATGTACATAAAGCACCTGGAAAGATGCCTGGAATGCACTGAGACTTTACACAATATCTGTTATTACCATGATTATGATTATTTTGACCTCAGAGGATACTACCCACCCTGATGGAATATGTTTTGATCTAGGAGATATCAGAGAATATATGTCACTCTAGAACATGGAACAGCAAATCAGTCCAAAGTGCTGCTAACAGAGACTCTCTAAGTAAATTTCCCCCCAATAAATCATACTTCAAGTGCGGGGGTAGTCTTTTCCAGCTGAATACAACTCAAATCCTCTAGAATTGGATTCAAAGACTAATTCTTTCTTCTCAGCTGCACCTTTACCCAAAGCACCCTATCTTCATTAACTTCACCATCACCTAAAATCTATACCTCTCTTAGAGTTGGTAGAATTAGAGCCAAATAAAAAAACAAAATAAAACAATAACACTGAATTTGAATGCTCTTTTAATAAAATGGGTCCTGACTCCCCAACTTAGAGCAAAGAGGGCCTGCCCAGTGGTTTCTGAGTTTCCGTCCTCAAAAGAATACTGCCCTTATGACTCAGGAACTCCCTGGAGATGATGTGTAATAAAACGCCTAGTGTGTGCTCTGTGTTCACCTGCACTGGGGACAGAAGCACGGGATATGTTCCATCCGTGTCTTGGATGGAGGTCCTCTCCGATTTACTCATGTCTCAAAGTAACTGTTAAAGGTCGTTTTCCATTCCAGACTTTAATCTCTCAACTGGAGACCTGGCTTCTGTTTGCCACTTCCACAGCCACCTTTAGCCCACCATACAGCTAACTTGAAATTACTTCCCATTGCAGAGCTTTCAGCTGCCAAAAGGCCCAAGTTGCCTTGCCCTGGGGAATTTTACACTAGAACTCATCTGAAGACCCCTTCCCTCCTTTTCATCCCTTATTTTTACTCGTCCTTTCGTTCTTAGGGAGTATCTTACCACCTACTTTATATGACAGCTGCTCTCAGACTCCACAGTTTTATAGGCAGGGGTTGGGTCTGTTTTTCTTATCACCGCCAGTACTAGGCAGGAGCCCTCCAAAGAGTAGGTGCTAAATTAATATTTGGGCAGTTAAAAAGCAAGTGTGCAAGTCAAATTTATTGCGATTTAATTTCATTTTGACTAAGCTAAGCCAATCCGGGTATATATACTTCAATTTTATAAAGAAAGATTAAAAGGAATAAAACAAACCAAGCACTGACTATATTTCACATTTTTTCTGTATCTTATGATCACACAGACTTTACTGTGGAGGAACTCCCTGTTTTCACAAAAACTGCATATTCCACTGTTACGTTACCTAGTTCTGAATGACAAGAGATGGTTCAAGTGTTTCAATTTGTTTTTACGAAATACTAAAATTCTTATTTTTAAACTTGATAAACTCCAATAAGTGTATGACTCATGTCATTCATAAACTTGGATTCTGAAGCTAAATAAACCTTTCATTGAAAGGAAAGCCATTGGGTGGAGGCAAGATGGCGGAAGAGTAGGGGTCCTCGTTTCATCTGGTTCCCCCAACTTACCTAGATAATTTCCAAAGCATCCTGAACACCTATGAATTCAACTTGAGATGTAAAGAGAGAACAGCTGGAATGCTAGAGAGGAAAGTGATCGCTTCTGACAAGGTAGGAGGGCAGAGAAGAGGGCCGGAAGGGATACATTGGAAGATAAACGCGGGAGGGAGCCGTGGAAAGCCGCTGCAGGGAAGCGGGGCAGCGCACAATCGGGAGCTTTAGAAATCTGCGCTTGAGTCTTCCCTGACTAAAAAGTGCTCAGTGGGGAAACAGGGCAGAATCGCAGGAGGGCCAGTGGAGTCTCAATATTCCTGGGGACACGGTAAGAATAGGGGCGCCCGAGAGAGAGCTCACCGCAAACCTCGGTGGGACCCCAGGAGAGCCGGACCGCAGCAACCCTCGCGGGGCTTCTGGGAGAGGCGGGCCGGGTCCGTAGTCCAGCAACTGAGCCCAGAGCCCCAGAGCGCAGGAGCGGACGCAGGCAGGCTATGC